TTAAAAATAGCTAGAAAACTTCATTATTTTTTCTCTATTTAAACAACTAGGCAGTCAACTTTTTTTCTTACACTCTCTCTTAAACCCTAGTTTATTTCTTTATTTTTATGTATAAATTTTATGGAGATTGATTGATTGATTGATTGATTGACTGATTGATTGATACTGGCAATTGAACCCAGGGGTGCTTAACCACTGAGCCATATCCCTGGCCCTGTTTTGTATTTTATTTAGAGACAGCATCTTGCTGAGTTACTTAGGGCCTTGCTGAGTTACTGAGGCTGGCTTTGACTTGAGATCCTCCTGTCTCAGCCTTCCAAACCACTGGGATTATAGGAATGCACCATTGTAACTGGCTAGAGACTTATTACAGTTATTAAAATAGTAAACTCATGTCCAATCATTGGTTGTAAAGCACTAGCAAAACATAAATAAAATGTCCATAGGAAAAATGGATTTTTTAAAGTCTTCCTGAATGTCTTGGCATTGACCATAGTGGTGAATCCAAATGTCAAACCTGCTGGTATAACTTGAATTTTACAATACAGTATAAAACCAGATACAGTGAAGTTCCTCCCTCCTGGAGCAGCTACCTCAGTTCCTCTGGAATAGAAGATGTTCTTGAGGATGGGAAGTAGCTCACTACATGGTTAGGACAGAAAGTCATTTAAAGCACAACCTGGATCCTCACGGTTTCAGGATGAAGTGGAAACATGATTTTTTAGAGGAAAATGAGAAAACAGCTGATGAATTCCTCAAATCTGCAGCTACATTTGTTCCATTTTTAAAAAAATCCCATGCTGGGAAAGCATGGAATTCCTGAGATAATTCATGGTATTTGCCTGACTTTCATAAAATCAAGCACAAGCATACATTCTAAAACTTTGAAAGGCCCCTTCAAAATATTCCAGCTTTATCTGTGAAATGAGAATCATATAATAATATTTACTTAATACAATGGAGATTAATTGACACAATAAGTGCCTGGCATGAAGACTCAATAACTGTTAACTGCATATTTTCATCTCTAACAAGGACTTGAGTATCTGAAAGAGACACTGCAGTAACTCAATGCCTAGCATAGTCCCTTGTGTTACCAGATATTTAATTAAGGCTTTTCCTCTCTTAAGAATATAGGAAAACAGTTTAGGGGAAAAAAAGGAAATCAACATGAGGCAGTATATTTTCACAATTAACTATTGTTAGGTCTTGACAAACATTCTTTGTTAACAAAAAATCATTAAAGAACTGTCTTCAGTTCTTTAATGGTCTTAATCTATTACCTCTACTACTCTACAATTATAAATTTATAAATAGTAATAATTTGTCACATTAACCTAATATATTGCAAGTTTCTCAATTGTACATAAATATGCAAGTTTCTCAATTGTACATAAATATATGTATTCCGATTATGTCTTTACAAATTCTGGATCTGTTTCTGTGGGGCAAAAATGCTCCTGGGTACAATGGCATACCTATCTGAATTTGCCATTCTTGACCCTAAATTCCATAACAAATGATTACATGAGAAAACACATAACATGAAAAAGCAGTCCCTGGCTGGACTTGGTGTACTCCTATAATCCCAGCAACTCCGAAGGCTGAAGCAGGAGGATCTCAAGTTTAAGGCCAGCCTCAGAAACTCAGCAAAGCCCTAAGCAATTTAGCAAGACCCTATATCAAAATAAAAATAAAATATAAAAAGGTCTGAGGTTCTACCCTGATGTACCTGTATTTACATGTAGAAAAATTGCTGATCTGTAATCTATAATTAGTTTTCACACTTGATCATTAAACCTTCTCATAAACTGTGCTTAAAAAAGAAAAGCAAATAGCCATATAACCCTTAGAATTCCTAGGATATCTGTTTCAAGCCCTGTAGTTTGCTCTGAAAAAAAGAATGCATTGATCCTTATGTATTCTCCAGGAAATTAATTTGTGACCATGTGAGTATAAGCATGTAAAGACAGAAAGAGAATAAAAGAAAGGAAAAATTATTTAAAAGAGAGCATTTTATAAATATAGTTGTTTTCTCAATCCCAAGTGAAAATGTAATTCATACTGTGCTCAATATACTTAACACTGGAATGTTTTTTCCCAGTGACTAATTCTAACGATTCTTTTGTCCAGATTGTTTCCCATAATCTATGCTTTAATCCACCATGAAACACCATTTCCTGCTGTTAAACCATCATAGGGAGCATCATTAGCATCTGGATAAATATTAATATCCAGAAAAACTTTTGTCTCTATATACCTGTACACATCTCTCATCAAACCCAGTCACTGGCTTTCCATCATCCCAAATTTTCCTGGGTCTTCCTGCAACCCAGAATGTAGCCTCAAGTAATTCCACTTTATGTCAACCTCTCCTAATTATCTTAAGCTTATTCTAAATAGAGGGCTCCCCAGACATGATCTTTCTTTCATTTCTCTCAAGTGGAGGCTTCTTTCCCTCATACCTTATAGTTTTAAATGTGTGAAATTAGGATGGTATGCTCTTCTCCATTTGCCATGTATGGACCACTTTTCTTCCAAAACATCATTCATTTGAAGCTTACTGCACTACTATTTGCTGCCAGTTAATCTGCCAACACTCTGCTCATTCTCTTCATTCAGCAATGACTTTGGTACCTGCATCTTCTCTTTCCCCATCCTGTCTTTCTTTTTGGTGAGTTCAGTAATTACAAGGATGGCACCTTCAACATCTAATCTTTCTGTCCTTTAATTTCCTCTCAGTTAATGCCACTAACTCCCAGGCTCATCTCTTTATTTTATTGACAACTACATATTGACTTCAAACAGTATCATTTTCTATCTTTTATCCTTCTAGGTCCTTTATTTAACTCAAAGGCATCAACATTTTTTCTTATTCAAGACATTAATTGATCCTGACTTTTCTCCTTAGCCAGCCTAGATTTCAAATGGATCTTTGTAAATATTTTAACCTTATCTCCATGCCTCTTTCTCTCCACTCTCTTTCATTTGTTATCATCTCACTCATTGACCAACAGTCCATTTTTCTCCATTCTCACACCTTATTAATGATTAATGTGGATAAATCACACAAACTTGCTTACTTGTTTCACTGTTGATTTAGGACCACAAGTGATTACTGATACTATTAAGTAATCTTACCATATTCTATTTGCTCAAACTTGCAAAACCTATTTTAATCAACAGAGTTAATACTATTATGTCAATACTTCTAATCTCTTTCTGCTGGCCCTTTCTCAAGAATTTCTCCTCTAGCATTGCCTCATGGATTTCTAAGTTCCACTGTAGTTTTCTCCATGTATAACTCTAGTGTTCTTTCCTCAACCGTAGACCACTTTTGCTTTTTTCATAGAAAATTTTCTAAAAAGTCTGTAGTCACTTTCTCCAAAGTTTCTTCACTTTTTTTCCTCAGTGCATTGCAATTAGATTTTTATCCCATTGATTCCTTGATAATCAAAGAATTCCTTGTTGATAAAATCTGTTCATCATTTTCTGCTTCCCTCTTACTTGAATAATAAGCAACAGTCAACACAGAAGAAGATCACTTTCTTTTCTTAAATCCTTTTGCACTCATCTGGGATTCTAAGAAACTACTTTTCTTAGGTTTATTTTCCCCATGTATAATTTTCTTCTTCTTAGCCTTCTTTGTTGGTCTTTCTGCTTCAGACCAAACTATAGATATAGCATATGTAAAGGATAAGTCCTCTCTTACCTTTGTTTAGTTGTATTGATATCCTTGGGGTATCTTATCCCAGCCAATAAATTTAATCGAGAGAGAGAGAGAAAGAAATTGGTTTATATATATCCACTAAAACCCAAGTCTTTACCTTTATCCTAAATTTCATATTTATACATCCAAGTGTCTAAAAGTATACTATGCCTAAAACAGATTCCTAATTTATCCCCTTCCCAATTGTCCCTATTCACATATATTCTGTCTAATAGTTGGCATCTTTATTCATCTAATTTCAAGGACTAAACTCTAGGAATCATTTTTTAATCATCTGGGATTCTAAGAAACTTCTGCATTTAATCCGTAAACAAATCCTATGGGGTCTACTTCCAAAACACTTTTTAACTTTCTCCACTTCTCCTCATGCTAAAAACTATCATCATAATCCATCCAATACTGTATTTCTTCCTGGTCTCTATAATAGCTGCATGATTTTCTTTCCATTCTTTTCCCTATCCTTGACATAATCTAATCTCCACACCAAAAAGGGACATTTAATGTCTAAATCCTTACACTCTTTTAGTTAAAACTCTTTAAATACTTGCTTTCATATCTAAAGTAAAACTGAGACTCCATATCTTGGCCTGAATGGCTGTATGTTCTGGATTCTTCTCTGACCCCTATCTGATAGATGGGCTTAAAGGGGACTTCCCAGAACTCTTGTAGACAGATCTTTACCTCTAAAGAGAATATAAAACCCTTATATTTAAGAAAAAAAAAAAGCGCTGAGAAACCAGGAGAAAATCCAAAGGCACTGTATATTGGAGTTCCTCAACAACCTACCTTCTCACTATCAGAGAAGGTTAAAGTCAACAAGTCAACCCATTTGTTCAGAACTTTTGATCAACTTTTTAAATGCCATAAAAGACACATATAAAAATCAGGAATTAATAAGGTTTATCACCTATCTTTGTAGTTAATTCAACTTAAAAGTTTAAGAGCTTTTTCCTTTCTCAAGCATACCCTCACTGATCTAAGTCAAAAGATTTGTCTTAGTCTTTGTTTTCTTTTGTAAAATAGATCCAGAAAAGAAGACGAAGGCAATTTTTTGGAGATAGAACTGTGTAATAAAAACATAAATTAATTAATAAACTTCTAAAGACCCAGATGAGCAGTCAGTAATCTCAATCAAAATTCAAGGAGTTTTTTTTTTAAACAAGAGGCAAGCTCATTCTAAAATTTATATGGAAATGAAAAGGGAAAAATGTAGCAAAGATAATCCTAAGAAGGAGAATTAAAATTGAAATATTAGCCAGGCCAAAGTCTATCCAGAGCAGGCACTTTATTCTGAGATCCTCTGAAACCTCATTACCAGTCCCTCTGTTGTGCTTTCAGTATAACAATTCCACTTGCAAAGTCTTTCCTTTTTAAATTTCCAGGAATGGTGTCACATAGCAGGAAGAAAGGTTTGCCACCGGGGACTGAATGGGTCTGATTATAGACTAGGGTTTATTACTCCAGGGAAGAGGTTGAACAAAATGTCAGATCTGATGCAGAAAATGTAACTCCAGTATCTGCCAGGAATTAATTAGGTTTATCATCTATCTTTGTAGTTAATTCAACTTGAAAGTTTAAGAGCTTTTTCCTTTCTCAAGAACACCCTCACTGATCTAAGTCAAAAGATTTGTCTTAGTCTCTGTTTTCTTTTGTAAAATAGATCCATTTTTTTTTCCTTCAAGTAGTTTTATTTATAATATGTGTCCTTGTTAATAGATGGGCTGTTAGGAAGTAGGCCACCTACCTTTTTGATGTAAGCTTATTTGGGGGGTTTTCTCTTTTGTTCTAGAGACCTTTCAAAATGTTCTGGCAGTTTTTGTAATACAGGTAAAGGTTTACTTCCATTCTAATTTCTGTTTTCTAATTGTCTTTAATTTCAAGTTTATTTCCATTGACAAAGTAAGATTAAAAGTCTACTGTTACACTGATGGCTTTAAGTCCCCAATGTGGTCAAAAGAAATTTTTTATTCCATTCCAAAAAGCTTCAATAGTTCCATCTTTTTTTCTGTTTTACCCACAGGGTAGTAGACTGCAGTAGGATCTTGGTTTGTCTTTCCCAGTTGGTGACTGCAGAGGTTGGGGTCAGTGTCTACTTTATATATGGTCTGGCCATTGTCCCTTTCGATATCCAGGCTTTCAAGTTGTATATTCTACTTTCCTTCTGGAAAATTACGATTTAAGTAATGAAATAAAGTCTCCGGCAGGTCCTTGAACAACAACCACAGAAAAAATTGTCACAGATAAAAGAAACATTTGGGGAAATGTTATATTATCTGAAATATTTCTATTCACTGCAAAAATATATCATCTATTATGAATTAACAAGTCATTCTATAAATTGAGGTCTCATGACATGTTTGATCATGTGACTCATTTTTACAGCACATGAATACAACTGATAAAGTTGAACCACAGAACATGGAAAGCTACAGATCCATTTTTGGACCTTGGAATACCCAATAAACTATTGCCACTCTGAAAATTCAGTCACTGTAGCATGACAAATGCAATGTGTATTTCCCTCTCTTTACTATCTCTGCCCTGATGCTGTCATGTGACTTAAGTTTGAATTTAAATTATGTACTTTAACAAAAGAAACTTAATGAAAAAAAGGTGCTTGAAACCATTATGTTTTTCAACTGAATCTAATTTGGTGTTTCCAAAAGTTTGTTCTTTGGAATATTATCACTTCAAGGAATAAATAGGTATTACAAGAAAATAAAAGGGGTAAAGAGAGATTGAGATCAAACAGGTTTATCAAAAAGTAGTGTGTTAACAATGAATAATTATTTGATTTGTTTTTTCCTTTATCAGTTTCTCAAAGTAGACCCCATTATTTCAATGTGAAATATGTAGCTTTACATTCCAGAATGTAAGTCTTTAAAAAGTCATTTAAATGGAATGTGTAATGAAATTAACAGACAGGTCATTTGGCTATAAATCAGGAAATGATTGCAAAGAGGTAATGAATAATTGATAAAAAGGTTTGTGCAGTTTAAAAAATAAAAACACAAAGAATACAAAACCAGAGCTCTCAGGATTCTCTTCCAATTGTTAAATTCTGTGATGACTTCCAGCCTCTGGGGAATGAATCACTGTAGCTAACTTTCTGTCCTCTCAGAATGGCATTTATGGTCTGAGTATGCTAAATTCATGCATAAAGCATTGATCATGTGATCTTTCTTTTGAAAACCTGTGGGAATACTAAATTTACATTCATACCAGATAACATTCAGGACAAAAGGCATTTTTGATTTCAGGATTCAATTAAAGTAACTAAAGAAAATAGGAAAATCTGCAGATGGCCTAGAGCAAATGAAATTCTAAGCGGTCATAAGTCTGAGTAGGAAATTAAACACTGAAGAACAGCATAAAACAATGAAAACAAGAAACAAATGTTATTATTATGAGAGTCTCTCAAAAAAATTTTTCATAGAAAATTGTTCCCATTTCATTTAGGGCCATTCAGTTAAGGCTTCACTTCCAAGAGAAAAGAAACTGTGCCTAGGTGTCAACAGAAATGAACATAAAATTTTCATTGGAAAAAAGAAAGAACTGCAAACTAAACCCAGTTGAAGCGAACTACTCTTCAGCCTCCTGCTTCTCAGTTTTGCATCTTTTTACCTGCCCTGTCTCTTATCCCTGATATTTTCTTAGTGATACACCATGAGTTTGTTGTCATGAATTTGCCTCCAGGTTAAAGTACTAAAATAAAGAGTGGAAGGAAACCTTAGGATATGTGTTTATAACTCACCAAGGTAGAGTCCAGGTGTGTGATGAAAGCTTTAGCTAAAAGAAGACTTTAAGGAATTCAGGTCGGTGCTGATGCTTATAGAAGGCATCAGAACTCAAGGTTTTCAGAAATACTATCTTCATCACCTTAGTAAAAAGGCAGTATAAACACCATTACTAATTTTGGCCACATCATAAAGAATCCTGTTTGGATGAAAAAATAGTAATCCATCTGGTAATATGCAGCCTCAGGTAAATGAAAAAAAAATTACCTGCCTCCTGAGACATAATTTTAATTTGGGTTAAAAATATTTACAGCCTATAGTGTGTTTAATTTTAAACTTTAGGTTTTCAGGTCTAAGATGATTTATTCATTTGATTTAACATCCAAGAACACCTGAGGACAATTAAAAGGTTTTGTGGGTGTTTCAGTTAGCTTTCTCATCACTGTGATCAGAATACCAGACAAGAATAATGTAGGAGAGGAAAAGATTATTTTGACTCATAGTTTCAGAGGTTCAGTCCACAGTCAATTGACTCCATAACTCTGGGCCCAACATGAGGCACAGTAAAAGGGTGTGGCAGAGGAAAGCGGCTCAGGACATAACAGTTGAACTCTGCTCACCAGAAACAAAATATAAACCCCAAAGTCACACCCCCACTGATCTACCACCTCCAGCTCCACCCCAACCGCCCACTTACAACTCAGTTAATCCACACCACAAATTGTGACAACTCCCACAATCCAAGGATTTCCCACATGAACATCCCTTTATTGTTTCACACATGAGCTTTAGACACACCTCATATCTAAACCATCACAGAAAGTTCCATAAGGTCAAAGCAGAAATTCACAATGTTAACATGGCAACATTTTATTTAAGGCTATTTCCAATAGGGAAGGGAGATCAGAATACAGCCTGAACTCAACTATACTAAGAACAGGAGAATTTGTAAATGCTGCAGCAAGCAGAAGAACACAGGTCATCTCTGTTTGCTGATTGCCTTTAGGAAAATTTTCTCCTAGCTTTGGGAAAGGAGGTAGTTTTACAACTTAGATGAAGACCCCCTTCCCACATATCCTGGAAGGTAGCAACTCTATCTTCATTGGTAATTACGATGATGATTGCAGAAGAAGAGCCCTTGGGTTTTTTGGAAAGATTATCTTGGGTGCTATAGCTAACAAATGCCTTATTTTTCGAAGAGGCAGAGGAATGTTTTACAATTACCAGTTTTCTAAGGTAAATGCGCTAAGGAAAGGGATATCAGGGATCTAAAGGCCAAAAGAAAATCATCTAAAGTTTAGTAAAACTGGGAGGAATATCAAGGTCATGTTGGTCAGGCCCCCATTTTGTTAAAGGAAAACCAAGTTTTCCATTGAACAACTTAGGAAAGTTATTCTGCAGAGCTCCTTCCAGCAGATTTCTATTGTGAAAGATTAGTTGAACCATGTACTGAATCTTGGTAGTAGAAAATATTTTCCTGGACCCGGGTGCAGTGGCACATGACTGTAATCCCAGGGGCTTGGGAGGCTGAGGCAGGAGGATCCCGATTTTAAAGCTACCCTCAGCAAAAGTGAATGCTAAGCAACTCAATGAGACCCTTTCTCTAAATAAGATACAAATAGGGCTATGGATATAGTTCAATGGTTGAGTGCTCCTGAGTTCAATCCCTTGTACCGATTAAAAAAAAAATTGCTTGATGCAATTGTGATGCAAGCAATCAAGCATTCAATGAGATGAATTCCTATAGAAGGAAAGAACAAAGATTAGTAGTTGGAGTAGACTTTTAGTCCTATTTCTAAGACCAGACAGCAGCCAAGTAAGGACATGCCTAAATATTGAGCTGAAGCATATTTTGATGGGGAGTAAGGATGGCAGTGGCAATCTGATGAGCCTTCCAATTTACTGTCTGAATGATTTGGGTGGCAACATAGAAACAAAGAGCTTTCAGTTAGAGGTTCCACAATCATGGTTATTTCCAGCAGCAGAGTTTGGAAGAGGCAGGAGTTAGAGAGAACTTCCCGATTGGCCACATATCATCCCTCCAGGTACAAAGTATACCCACACATGATCTGCTCTGATGGAAATCTCAAGTCTTCTAGCTCCAGCTCACAGGGCTTCTTCAGAATCCAGGTAGAAAAGACTATCAGTGAAAAAACCTAGAGTCCCAGGAAAGATCTGAGAAGTCAGGTTTTTATTTCTCAATGGTAGCAAGTTGAAGGGTGAATAAAAATTAACAGGGTTAGTCTGGATTTGTGATCAGATCCTAAAGAAAACGTTAAAATTTTTGAATTTGGTAAAGGTTGATATTTTGTGCAATATAACAAGATTAAGTGTAATTTGAAGGCAGATAACAAAACTATGCAATTTATAGAGAGATGAAAACAAAGCTCAAAGACAATAATAAATAGGACCAAGATCCAATAACTCACAAAGTGCTGTAGTTTTCTACTGAAATATAAACTATCTATCTACAATCTCCTCTCTTTTAACCAAACATACTCAAGGTAAAATTATCCTCCATCATAAAATAAATGTTTTCTTATTAGATTTAGCTTGATGATTAATATTGGTCCAGCAAGATTGGTAAATGGCAGAGACCTTTGTGAGTTTGCTTTGCTGGAAGTTTTCTTAAGGAATCTCAAAGTGGACTTTTAAAAGGCCAGATCAGTCACTCACAAGATTCATCCACAGTACAAATAGATTTGGGTCAATACTCCTCTTCTCCAGACCCTCCAAATAATACTACAATTCCTGGATCTATCAGGAAGCAACCCTCCTTACCATCTGTAAGTTTGGGACCTGCATAAGTCAGATGCCAAACCAGTTTTCCCAAGTAGGCTTTGAAAGCATTATCACCATGAAAAACAAAACAGCTTCTTGAAACTGTCCAGTGATATCTGATTTTATGCATCATTGTCAAATATAATGTTCCCAGTTGAAGCCTTGGTTATATAACTAGTGTTTTCAATTATGTCATATTACCAAAAGGACAGATTCTTACTGAACCTGTGTAAATGACTATATTGTCAGGAAAATAAGAACAGTCAATAAAAGTTTTTGAATTCTGGAAGAATCAGGCAAGGAGGAAAAGATAAATGTTTCATTTCTGTTTACAAAAGTATGATTTATCAAGTTGTTATGATTTATCGATTGCTTAAGAAAAACAAGAAAGGAATTCCTTATATCCAGAAAATAGAACATTAAAATATCTGCAACATTCCAAACAAAACCTACAACTGTTCTTCATCATGTTGATCATAGGTTAGTTGTTGATCATGAGTTAGCTGTCTTATGAACCCATAAGCTTATTCCCCCAGTTGCAGGGGTTTAGTCTCAAAATTATTTAAATAATGGCATCAGAAACTTGTGCCTCAGAGCATCTGGCATCTTCCATTGCTCTATTTTGGCTGAAGATCAAGCATTCTGGACTGCAGCTTATTGCAAGTGCTTCAAGAGTCATAAACTAAAAACAATCTCTGAAGGAGAAAAACTTAAAATGGCCCCTGTTAAAGATATTATGATAGCCTAAATATATTTCAAATTATAATTGGGAAATTTTTAAAATTTTTTTTTGTTTTACAAATGTTTTGTTGTTCCTAATTATTGGATTTCTAACTAATAATCCTATGCTGTTTTTTAATACCAGGCAAAGCAGCACCAGAATATATGGATAGTGAGGACATTAACAAATTTATAGGAACTTTATACAAGTTCTAAAATACTATAATAACATTTATCCATACAAATAAAACTTAGGAAAGTCAAGCATCTCTTTTTATTTGACAGTATTTCCTATGCAATTCAACATATCAAGTAAAGCTAATTTTTTTTTTGCGCTTCTCTTTTCACAAAGTGAGAGATATTTTGTGATTTTCCAGACATCCTCAAAGTCATTTTGAGATTAAGATTTCATCTAAGATTTGATTTGCAGAAGATAAAAAGTATCAAACATTGTCAGGAGGTTTAAAAACTTGGTTAAAAAGGATTATGAGTCTCTAGTACATAGTACTTGACTATTTGATCAAAGAGACCAAAAGAAACCTTCAAAATCAAATAGAGGAGGCAAAATGACTGTAAAAACTTTTCAAAGATGTCTCTGGTACTCTCAGATAATCAATGATATGATAATGTCAACATAAAACACAGAAGATTATTCTGATGAATTCATAATCTGTGCCTTATAGGTGGAATACTCAAGTAGTAAAGAAAAACTTTTACAAGTTCTTATTAAGAGCAGATCAATAATCAAAGAAAAGCATGTCATTTTAACCCAGAGAAAATCAAGACTCTAGTTTTACATCAGTGTAGTATTAGTATTAAAGCTCATTTCTAAAAACTTTATAAATAAATCTATCAAATCTTACTCAAGTACACTTGATTATTGGGGAACATCACAGGCATGCTAAAGTATTAAACTTCTATAAAGAAATTTGGAATCATAAAACTGGAAGTTGTACAGTAAAGACAGGTATTTCTCTCCAAAAGCAAAGACTATGACAGTGAATGACTTCTTCCATTTATCATCAGGATTATAATGTTGTTTATTTTTATTCCCTAGGTAAAATTCCCTCCCTTTCTAACCAAAACTATATTCTGCCACAAAACTGTAACTTCTGAGTTAGACAAATATGATTCTTCAGTCAAGGGACTATCTCTCTCTCTCTCTCTCTCTCTCTTCTAGAAATCCAATCACCTCTTCACACTAATTCAGCTTACTACATGCCACTGTCTGTGGCACTGTCAATCACTCACTTTATCAGGAAGTTTTTCTTCTCTGGGTTTCCTCCGACCCCCCCCCACCCATCCCACTCTACCCCACCCACCCCACTCTACCTCCCTGTCTCCTGGGTGGGAAATCTCAGAGTTTCTGGGCCTTTCTTTCCGTTATCCTTTATATTTCATTTGTGTTCTCTCTCTAATTCTCACTCCAATATGTCCTTCTCTGTAGCAAAGCATTTAAGATAGTGGACTTTGGGGGCGAGACAATGAAAGTTTAAAGTCCAGTGCTATTGTTTATTGTCATATGATCTGGGGACATAATGATACTAAAAATTGTAAAAAGAACAAGTTTGTGGCCAGGTACTATTCTAAGTAATTTTAATTTATTGACTCATTTAATTATCCCAACGGGCTATAAGTATT